TTTTTGCAATATGAACAAAACAAAATGAAACAAATATTTTCCATGGAGAGAAATCATTCGGTTTAATTTGTTAAATCATTCAGTTTCTTTTCTTTATCAGTTGGATTGGCACGTTTCTAATTAAATTTGACTAAAATTTCATAAAAAACGAACAACCTCAAAATTTCTCCAAAACCCGAGAAATTGGAATTGAGAAAGGAGGAAAAAAATTCTACTACCATGAGCTTCCACTCCATGCACAGAGTGAAAGGACTAATTTTTTTTTTTTTTTAAATTTAACAAAATAAATCTGAAATATTAAATTAAAAAAATGAAATTTTTTGTCAAAAATCTAGGTCATCGTGTTTGTTTTAAATTGCCTAATAATTGGATCTAATCATAACAATTTACATAGTAGCAGTTAAGCGAAAGTGTGAAACATTATTCATCTTCAGACTTGCCTACTATATTATATTGCAAAGCCTTAACCAAGATATGATCCATCAAAGCATAATCAGAATTGCGCTGCTTCTATTTTTTATGATTTTCTGAGCATACTTGCTTCGTCGTTTGATTTCCAGGTTTGCATTAGGCTATCATTACTCTCTTGGCATCACATTATACAATCTTTTGCTCCCATTTGAGAACATGCCCATGTTTAGAAAACTCAGCATGTTTCCACTTAAGTAAACTGTCATAATTTTCCTCAGAAGTTACCTTCTTACTCATCTAAATTCTACTCAACAATCAGAAAGATGGGAACAAATTATGGTTATGACACTCCATATCATTTTGAGGTAGGCCCGACCCAGGTGCCCTCAATAAATCCATTCACACCAGTACAAGTCATAAATTTCTAGGTAGTGACAGCATATTTGTTTCAGGGCAGGTAACAGGTTCATGAATTCTTAAGCCAATGTTTTTTGACAAATATATACAACTTACTGGTGCATGAACGACAGACCTCTTTATTCATTCCTATAAGTCATATTTCTCAACATTACGGCTGCGAGATAAGATGCCTAGAAAAGCTCCACAAATTGTTTATTAATCTGTTGGGTTTTGAGACTTTTTTGCAATGGAAAATGGTCTAGAAGAAGAAATTCATAGAAGCCATATTTCTTCTAATTCCATGGTAATAACCTTAATTCACATTGATGGCTATGTGTCTGTGGGAATGTCTCAAAAAAGTTTTATTCTATGAAAATGAAAAACCTCAACAAGTGAAGTGAGGTGGTTGTTTATTTCTTTTCTTCTGGTTTCCTCCGTGCATAGAGTGAGCGGGACTATTTTCTTTTTTTTTTTTTAACAAAATAAATCTAAATATTAAATGATTTATATTAAAAAAATGAGAAATTTTGTCAAAAATCTGGGTAGGAGGAGTGCGTGTAGCCTTTTTTTTTTTTTTTTACATAATTATAAGTTAAACAAACTTCATTCTATATTTATCTCTTCCACATAATTTTTATTTTAAGATCAATAAATCATTCATCCATGGAAAAGAAAAGACCCAATAAACTTTAAAGAGAAGAAGAAATTACAGGTGATTTGTGTGTGGTGAAATGGAGAACCAAATAACGTGTAAAAATGGAGAAGAGATAAAAAAAAAGATATACGTGAATTGACGAACAAGGAAAAAGTCACTGTAGCATGTCAGGGAAATAGTTGAATAGAAAACAACGTCGTTTTTGCTCACGAAAAAAAAAAAGCTACAGTAAGATAAAATGGAATAATTCACTGTTAATTTCTACAGTAACTTCACATTCTCCCTTTTATATAGTAGGAATAATTTCGGCAACGTTGATACATGTAGCACTTCCATATCCACAAGTAAATTTCTGAGCTAGATGACATCCTTGGTTGCTTTTACTCTCAAGTCTGCATTTGGAGTAAATTAATGATTTTCAACTTCGATAGGCAACTCCCCCTCACACTATCGGCATGTCTCTATCGGCATGTCTCTGTTCTCAACAAGGCTTAGCTCTTCACTCCCATTGCAATGGAGTGTCAAAACTTTATTAGTCGATCCAGGACAAAACATGAACATCTTCTGTACTTCTCTCTGCAAGCACATAACTCACATGATCATAATATGATCGTTGACCCTTAATTGCTTATTCAATTATGCAATGAACAATGAAATCAAAACTAATATGCAATATTTACTAATAGATAAAATAAAAGATCATAAATTACAGTTATGTTTAAATACTATTGGGCATCTATCCCAATACTTATATGTTAGTCACATGACATTTCGATAAATGAAGAGAATTTGTAAGTTGAGGTATTCAAAATTACTAGATGCAAAAATTAATTTGTTTTCCAATTAATTTACTTTTGGAAAAGACTCTTAAATCTTTCAAGAATCGGAGTTCTCAAACATAAATTCAAGACTTGCAATCTTTTGGTCCCATGTACAATGGTAGGACATAACTTGATCAAACCAGTCCATTCATGTTCTCGTTCTACAATAACAAGAATAAAAAAAAATGTAAATTACAAAATTGCAGTAAAGCACATGTTTTAAATATAACTGATTATAGATTCCAATTTCAATAACCAGGCTCGACTCGAATTGAATCGATAACAAACTCAAAGTGGCCAATTCGATTTAGTTGTATTTTGGTTCAAATGGTTCTCGTTTAAAAATAATAATAATAATAATAATAATAATAATTACCCCTAAGGCTGAAAAACTAGCTTTAAATTACGGGTAAACCCCCCCCCCCCTCAAATGTTGAAGGGTGAATAATACTATTTATAGTTGCTTACTGCGGAAGTCGCTCTACGTAGCATTTTACATGACAGTTTGTAATTTGATGTATTAAATTGTGGTAGTTTTTTATTATTACGTGTATCAAATCACTAATCGTCACATGCATGTCATGTAAGACGATTAGGTTATTCATAAAAAATGCATGTGGGCCTCATTTGTAAGGAGCTGTACACCAAGCTTCATTCTTAAATTAGGAAAGTGATATTCCGATCTCTTGTCAGGATTAAAAGAGACGAACTTGAAAGAAATGCTGTAATATTTATTTTTTCTGCCTGCCCAAAATTCTCAAGATCAATAATTGTCAATTTGACGTAAAATTTCGTCATAATGTCATAATCAGCACTCACCAAAAACGTAAACTTCCAATCTCTCTCTCTCTCTCTCTCTCTCTCTCTCTCCTCTCTCTCTCGCGGTTAAAAAGTAAATTTTCAGTGAAATAGTAAAGTTTGACTCGTTTTTATACACTTGCATGGATCTTCTAACTGAAACTGAGAATTCCGAGGCTCTAAGCAAGCATTAAAATTAGCTGAGAACTAGTCGCTGAAAGGTAACTATCTCCACAAAATTCTTGCTTTTTAATTTCATCCCCCTTTGAATTTCTCAAATTAGGTCGGATTTCAACTTCTTCTGAATCAGAATTTTAAGCAAAAATCACATTAGTTCGTTTTGTTTACAGGTGCACAATCCAATCCGCTTTCAAAAAATTCAAAGAAGACATAAATTCCCACTATTTCTTGTTTCCGACCGATTCTTTTTAGGCTGATTAAATTGATGGATTTTTTCATTTCAATTTTGTAAAATATGGGTTCTGTTTTTCAATTCATTTACCAGAAACTGGTTTCTTTGTTCTCTGTTTTCCTTCATTTTCTTCAATTCTTCAGTTTCATCTCCACATATTTTTCCAGGTTTGAACGTTTCGAATTGGTTGTTTTTTATCACCAAATTTTTATATATTATAAATTTACTAACAGAATGTTTTCCTGGTCACAGGCTTGAAAGGAAAGAAACAGAGGTTATTTCTGCAGAAAGGAATCAGAGGGTAACAATATCTCATGAAGCAGAGAAAAAAGTTTCTGAATTTAGAGGTGTTGAGAATTATGTTGAGGAAGAGAAACCTGAATTCTTTTTGAAATTTAAGTTTCCGACGTTTGAAGAATTTATTAGATGCAATAAAGAAAAAGAAAAATTATTTGATTTAGAAGCAATCCCATTTGGGAATTCTAATAACCATGAGTTTATATCCGGGAATTGTTTTGGCAGCTTCATTGATCAACCCGGGACTTCTCGCACTAAAGAAGATGAAATATATAGAAATGGAGATTCCCCTGAGAGTTCTGAGACTGTTGTTGATGAGGTTTTTTTGGATGAGATTTCGGGGAAAGTTGGTGTTCAAGATGAAGTGAAAGACGATTGGAATAATGTTATAGGTGACAGAGAGGAATGCGAGAAAAATGAACCAGCTAAAGCAGAGGGAAAGATTCAAGATTTTCTCGATGATTGTCAATTCCATTCAGATGACATTTCAATGTTTACAGATTCTAATCCTGATTCTGATTCAGAGTCGGCGAGTTTTGGGCTTATGCGTTCAGTTGTGAGTAGTGCAGCTGATGGGTTCTTGTCAGATGGAGATTTTGCGGGAGAAAATCATGGGACAGAGGTTCTTGATAATGAAGAGAGTGATATAAAGGAAGAACAGAGGACATTGAAAGAGGATAATTTCCAGGATCCAGGAATATCAAACCTTGAATTTTTGTCTGAGAATGATTTCAATGAAGATTTAGACAAGACAGAAAATGGAAAAGCTGATGATGAAGGGTTTAAAAGACCAGATAATTCAGATGATCACGAGTCGAAAGATTCATCAAGCAACAGACTGGAATCATTGTGGGAACATCAAGAATTGATTGAACAGTTGAAAATGGAACTCACAAAGGTGAAAGCCACTGGTCTTCCCACCATTTTCGAAGAATCCGAGTCCCCAAAACTGAAGGACTTGAAACCATGGAAAATCGACGAAAAACTCGTGCATGAAGATTGCATCGATGAGCTTCACAAATTTTCCAATTGCTATAGCGTGAGAATGAGGAAATTCGATATCTTGAATTACCAGAAGAAGTATGCAACAGGTCCAGCCTCTCCTCAATTTTTCTTTAATTCAGTCCACTTTATGACACCAAACATGTTCTATACCATGATTTCCATAATTCTGTCCAGCCCAAGAATAGTACTGTCTAAGACACTACTTCTACCATAGATTAACATAATTGTTTGTTTCTTTATTTTTATCTGGTGCAATAAGATAATCTTTCATTATTATAAATCATGTTTTACTGGTTAAAAGATATTAATACACTGATATGAAAGCAAGTTGTGATTAATAATTAGATTTTCTAGAGAGGACCCATGAAATCTTGTTAGTTGGGCTCCGAGAACAGCAAAAACGTGAACATGCATTGGTAGACATATTATAGGAATGAGCCAAAGACAGAACAACAAACGGTGGTTGCTAAAGTAGTGTGATCCCAGACAACCCAGCCCGTGACATCGATGAAATTAATCTCTCTTGTGCTGGCATTACTGTATAGTTTAAGGCCAAATGCTCCGGCCCATCCAAGTTTCTTTAGAATTTTCGTTTACTTCTTGAATTTTCATATAACTAACTCGCTTAACCTCGGAAGAATAAAAGAATCTGAAGGATATGATTCATATGCTCAACTAAACAGATTAAGGAAGAAAGCACGTTTCAAAATGATTCGGTCGTTATGTCTAGTTCTGCATACCAAATTTGCCGGAGTTTTATACCAATCATGCAATTTCCTGCACAGGTTTTCTGCAGCTAAAGGATCCACTTCAATCAGTTTCTAAAGTAAAATTTTCAGGTTCAACTCTCAAATCCATTTTCTCGCAAAACCTTTGGTTTTCCAAACATGAAAGCCATGATAATGATCCAATGAAGAAGTTCATCAGAGAACTGCACAGTGATCTTGAAGTTGTGTATGTTGGACAAATGTGCCTTACCTGGGAATTCTTACACTGGCAGTACGTGAAAGCGTTAGGTCTATGGGATTCTGATCCCCATGGAATCCGTCACTACAATGAGGTTGCTGGTGAATTTCAGCAGTTTCAAGTTCTTTTGCAAAGATTTATCGAAGACGAACCTTTTCAAGGGCCAAGAGTTCACCACTATAGTAACAGCCGATGTGCTTTTCGTAACCTTCTTCAAGTTCCAGTCATTAGAGGTGAGACTTCTCTACCCAATTTATCTTTCCATGTTACTAAGAGGCATGCTTGGTAAGTTAGCTGGACTTTCTATCATGATATAGCTAGTAAATATGATCTAGTACACGATAATTTTCTGGCAGAGGACAGACTTAAAGACAAATGCAAGGCAAGAAAGAAGAAACATACAGAAGAAAATTTTGTCACTAGTGACATGCTAGTGGAAATTGTGGGAGAATCCATAAGAATATTTTGGCAATTTGTTGAAGCAGACAAAGATTGCAACATTGAAACAAAGCGAACACCTGAGCTTCATGATCCTGAAGACCTGCAGCTGTTGATAGAGATCAGAAAAATTCTTCAAAAGGTTGGTCAAGGTAGCTTGCTTTCTAATTTTGTTACGAGTCTTTAACGAGTCTAATTATCATTGTCTTTATTTTATCTAGAACCGTTTCTCCTACTCATAAATTTTACACATTTATTTAATAAATAATTGTGACCTTTAATTTAAGTCAATCCAATGTTTAATAAATGTGTCAAATTTATGAGTAAAAGGAACTATCTATATTTTATTCATTTTTTAGGATGTTTGAAGTGGCTGATTTCATGCTTATAAGCATGAGAGAGAAGGGTCCCCCCAGCATGCTTTTCATTGTCACACCTCGTTATTTTTTCTCCAATAATCCAAAAATAAAAAATAAAAAAAAACAAAAGTATAAGTACTTTTTGAAAAGAAGTAAAGCTGTTTGGCTAAGGTTAATAAATTATTGGAATTAACTTTTTTAACTGAAACAAAACAAGCGATTATAAATGATAATGTAATATATCCAAATATGCTGATAATTAAAAAATTATTTAAACCATTAAATTCTTTAAAATTTTTACAAACATAAGCTCTAGATAAAAAATAGATCATTTAGCCGCTATTTGATTTTATTTTAGTAGATTTTGATAAAAAAAATTAATGAAATATATTATTGAAAAGTTGTGATTCCATAAAATGTGTGATTAAAATTAAATATTAATTTTGACTTAAATTAAAATCTTGTTTTAACTCATACCAAACGAGGGCTTAATACACTGATTGTTGAAATGCAGAAGGAGAGGAAGCTCAAGGACATTGTAAGAGGCGAGCGTTGTATACTCAAAAAGTTTCAACAATGCCCAGAAGATGATTCAAATTTAATGAAATATATTATTGAAAAGTTGTGATTCCATAAAATGTGTGATTAAAATTAAATATTAATTTTGACTTAAATTAAAATCTTGTTTTAACTCATACCAAACGAGGGCTTAATATACTGATTGTTGAAATGCAGAAGGAGAGGAAGCTCAAGGACATTGTAAGAGGCGAGCGTTGTATACTCAAAAAGTTTCAACAATGCCCAGAAGATGATTCAAATGAAGTTCTTTTTTATTTTGCTCAACTAGATATGAAATTAGCTTCTAGGGTTATAAACATGTCAAAAATAACAAGAGACCAATTGATGTGGTGCCATAACAAGTTAGACAAGATTAGTATTACAGATAGGAAAATATGCATAGAACCCTCATATTTGCTCTTCCCATGTTAATCTCTTGTAGTCATCTAAATTTTGCTAATTTTGCAACACTTTTTTACTAATTTTATTATTATTCTATTTACTCATTTCATATGATGTAATGTTAATAGAATACAACAAATATACAGCATTCAATATTTGCAATAATATTCTCTGTAGTAACATTTCTTTCTATTGCGTTGGAGGGAAGGGATGATTGGAAATTTGGAATAGTATACGTTGACCTCAAAAAATATGCAAACAAAATCCCAACCTCGTTCCCTCCAACGAAGGATCATCTGCACATTGGAACACTCCGTTAGGAGGCATAAACCACCAATCGAGAAAAGGGTTCAACGATAGTTTACACTTCAACGATCAAGTCCAAGGCACGGACGAAATATAGTGTGCAAGAAATAGGAGGATATGGCTAGGATTAGGATGAATGCACCTTTAGTGAATGAGTTCACACACACACACACACACACATATATATATAGGAAAATGATAATGGACCAAGTTGGATAATGGGTCGAGTTGAGTTAGTGGGCCGAGTCCAAACTCAAAATACAATTACCAAATTAAATAGGCCAATCAATTGAATGTCAATACCACATTGGCATATATGGGACCCTCTCCGTCACGTGAATGCCACGTAATATATAGGTGTAAAAATAGTCTTCCAAGTCTAAGTCGTACATTCATGTGCAGGTCGAATCTCGAAATACAAGTTGTCAAGTATGCAAGGTCTTACAGATTGCTTAAAAAATATGAGTAGTTTCGATAAATGACAGCTGACGAACTACCTTGAGAATATAATCGATCCTAAATAGTCGAGAACTTACGAATTACCTCGAGAACATAAACTGATTCAATACATGATGATTTATGAACTGTCTCGAAAACATCCATGCGAGCCTCGATAAGCGAGGACTTACAGATTGCCTCAAAATATAATTTGTTAAAATTTCAACAGCATCTCCTCTGTAACATAGACTAAACCAACATGTAATACACCATAATATCTCCACCACACATATATAAAATAAAGTGAAATCCATTTGCCCCTCACATTACTCATAACTATAAAGCAAATAGTGGCATATCACATTTCTCCAAGATACAATATACAGAGAGCCTATCATATATTATAGCAGGTCATATGCTTGCACAACTTAGTGTAGTAGTAGTGCTATAGTGAAGCAAGTAATATGATATCGACAATAAAATGAAAATGAAGATAACGCGGCATATGTATTTACTATGATGAAAATAGTGTCACATCTCTTGACATGCTAGCAGTGTGTGCTATGTACTTTACAGTAGTAATATTTAATGATACTGAGATACTAGTGATATTTTAGAGAACATCGCCTATTTTTCTGAATGAAATTATTTATTCACATAGAAATGAATTTTGAAAGGTTAAATAATTCAAATACTAGCACTACACTGCATGTTCGAGGCCAGTTTGTAGGACCTCACATTATTGAAGACGAGCTGAGCTTATGGTTTTCTTATTTACTGAAGGCGAACCCTAATTTGTTGATATCTTATTATCAAAAATTGCATGTTGAAGTCCTTGTTCCTTTGAATAAAAGAATAGACGGCACCCTCTTTCCTTGAATAAAGAAATAGGCGGTATATTGAAATTCTCGTTCCTTAGAAAATGAAGAGATAAATCACCAGACGTGTTTGCTCTTGCAAAAAGAGCATTTCCTGACCTCATCTCTAAAATGTCTCGTCACGCGAGATGTTTATTCCTTACTCTTCAAGGTGCCTCGTTACATGAGATTTTTATTCATTGCCTAATAAGATGTTTATTCCCCGCTTCACCAGATGCTTATTCCTCTCTTCATGAGATGTTTATTCCTTACCTTTCACTACCGTCGAGCCTAGCTATAAGACCTTGTCTATTCGAAATCGCTTATAAGACTTCGATAGTTCAAGAGCTATTAGATAGATGTTTATTTCCCGCTTCACCAGATGCTTATTCCTGGCTCCACGATATGTTTAATCCTCATCTCTCACTATCATCGAACCTAACTATAAGACCTCGTCATTTCGAGACTAATTTATAAGACGCTGATAATTCGAAAACTATTTGTGGGATGTTTATTCCCTGCTTCGAAGATGCTTCTTCCTCGCTCTCATTATCGTCGAGACTAACTATAAGGCCTCATCGTTAGGCTAGTTTATAAGACTCCAATAGTTTTAGAGCTACTTGTGGGATGTTTATTCCCCTCCTTTCCAGATGCTTATTTCTGACTTCACAAGATGTTTATTTCTCACATCTCACTATCGTCGAACCTAGTTATAAGACCTTGTCATTTCGAAGCTGGTTTATAAGACTCCGATAGTTTGAAAGCTACTCACGGGATGTTTATTTCTTAGCTCGTAGATGCTTATCTTAGCTTTTCGAGAAATTTATTCCTCACTCTTTAAGATGGCTCGCTATACAAGATATTTATTCCTCACTTTGAGATGTCTCGTCATGAGAGATGATTGTATTTATGCTTCCACTTCGAGATTCTCTCCATCGTCGAGCACATCTATAAGAACTTATCATGTCGAGGCTAGCTTATAAGTCTTTGATAGTTCGAGACGAGCCACTAGCCCGGTGTTTATTTTTCGATCTTTGAGGTGCTCATCATGCGAGACTACGACAAAAAACTCATCATGCCTCTGCATCGACTCCATTACAATTGCCTATCTTTCAAAGTTTTGCTTCTACTTTAGCCATGTCATATCTACTTATCTTCAGAGAGCTTATATTATGTACCGCTTTGTAAGGAGTGTAGTGGGTCCACCTTAATACCTAGAAGACGAGGCCTTCCATTGTTGAATCAAACATCATGGAAGAAGCCCTTGCATGGAGGAGTCACTCCCTTGCAAGGAAGTAAATTAGCCTCGACATAGGACAAGTGTGATGCCTTCCATAAGGAGGCACACATTGCTACCTTAGAAGTTAAAACCTTCCAACTCTAGACCAAACACCATGAAAGAAGCCCTTGACATGGATGTGTCATCTCCATGTAAGAATGTCAGCTTATCATAACTACTTATATCCAGATAATCGCTTCTACGACTTAGACATTTAGAGCATCGCCTCAGCAGCTTATATCAAGAATCTCATATCTACATCAGCTTCATCGCAGCTACTTATCTTTAGAACATCGTCCTTATCCAAAAGTCCACGCATTATATGAATATCCGTACATGGTCTTGGGAAACTATTTTGATAGTAGTATTTTAGTATCATTACATATTGCTGCTAGTACATGCATTATATTATTGCTGTAAAGTACATATGTCATACACTGCTAGCACATCATGAAAAATGACACTATTTTCGTCACTGCAAATACGTATGCCACGTTATCTTCATTTTTATTTTATTATCGACATCATATTACTTGCTTCACTATAACACTGCTGCTACCTAGAACTTATTTTGTATAAAAATTATTAATTAAATGCATTTGATTGATTTAATTTTAAACTTAGAAAATATAATACTTGTTCATTTTTATTGGTGGGTAGATGAAAGAAAAGTGATAGATGAGAGAGAGAGAGAGAGAGAGAGAGAGAGAGGTAGTGGATTCCCTGGAAAATAAAATTCTAATCCACCTAAAGAAAATATTTTCCTTGATTTTGAGGAAAATATGATCACATGGCCAAAAGTAGAAAAAAATTCACGGAAAAAATGTAAATCAAACAACACAAAAGTAGAAATTTAAATGAAAAAACACATTTTCTATAGAAAATATTGGCAATGAAACGCACCATTGATTATGCAAATATATAACCTACTATGATACATGATAGACTCTCTATATATTATATCTTCAAGAAATGTGATTATCAGTATTCACTTTATGGTTATAAGTAATTTGAAGGGCAAATGGATTCTAATCTATTTTATATATGTGTAGTAGAAATATTATGCTGTATTACAGGTTGATTTAGTCTATATTATAAAGGAGATGCTGTCAAAATTTTGACAAATTATATGCAACACCTTTCGAGGCAGTCTGCAATCCCTCGCTTATTCAAGCTAGTAAAGATATTTTCGAGATAATTCATAAGTCCTCATGTATTGAAGCAATCCTGAGGTAATTTGTACGTCTTAGCCTATTTAGAATCGATGTATATTTTCAAGATAATACATAAGTCGTCATTTATTGGAGCTACTCATATTTTTAAGGCAATTTGAAAGACCTCGCCTACTTGACAACTTGTATTTCGAAGTCCGACCCGCACATAAAAGTACGACTCAAACATGAGGGACTATTGTTATATCCATAAATTACGTGGCATGTGCATGATAGATGATGTTCCATATATGCTGACTTGTCATTGACTATTTCATTGGATTAGACATATTTAATTAAACAAGATATTTGTTGGCCTCCATTTCCACTTATGTGTGTGTGTGTGATTCAGTTTACAATAGAGGTACATTTATTTTAACCCTAGCCAAATCTCCCCTCCCTTTCTTGCATTCTCTTTTTCTTTTGTCCAGCCATTTACTTGACTCTTGGAATGCAAACGGTCATCTGAAATTTTTCTCGATCGTGGCCTTTGCATTCTAACAGAATGTTCTGTGTACATGTGATATCTACGTGGAAGGGATGAGGTCGAGATTCTGTTCGCACATTTTTTAAGGTCAACAGTACACTCATCTTAAAAATACTGGTGTTAAAATATCAGTTTAGGTAGCACTCATATTACATTAAATGAAAAGTACAATTAAATGAATCACTTGATTCCATCTTTCTTTGAATCTATTACATAGCACCACCTATATTGGTGTTATAACGTTAGTGATACTAAATAGCATTATTCTAAACCATGCAATTGTCCCGTCTTATTGGATTGGTAGGATCCGGTCTATTTCAACTTGCCTTTAAATTAATTAAGGCATCAGAGCACAATTTAAGACAACATTTTCAAAATTTAAGGTAGAAAATTTATGTTTCGAAAGTATAGGCCAATTGGATCCCCATATTTTATATTTAAAAAACTCACATTTATTTTTAAATTTTTCTAAAGAAGTTTGGTTCAATTTGGAAAAGTTGTCCTAATACAGTAACGAGCCACGATTCAATCCGATCTGAATTCAATAAAATTTTGTTGGACGGGCCAAACTTACCCCTCAAATTGAAATGAGTAGATTAAATAGCTCTAACGAGTGGTGTTGGTTCATCTTCCTAACTAGTCGGTCGACTAGCATTCCATATTAGCACCTCTAACGATGACTTCCATAGACTTGAGCATTAATACTTTTAAGTCCCTGCGAAATATAGTGCTTGTTTGGTAGAGATTTTGATAATTAATTTTCTGACCGTTAAAGATAAATTGGGTCCTAAGTATGAGAGAAGAATTTAAAAATGACGGTTGGAATAGTGAAATAACGATCAAAAAATTGATTTTAATTGGATTAATAGCTATACTAAACAAGCTCATAGAGTTGCTTGATATGATTCTGTAAATTAATAGTTCAAAATCATGAAGAAAACTAATTCAAGAATGAAATCAACACTAATTCCATATCTCCTAACAAATTGATGAATGAATGAATTTCACACTAACCAAGAATTCAGGGGGTGTATTTAATTAGGACTTATAAAAGACTTTTGGAGATTTAAAAAGTTTCGGTGTATTCAATTGAGACTTTTAAAAAATCTCTAAAAGTCTGGGTGTATTCAATAGAGACTTCTAAAAAGTCTCTATAAGTCACGAGGTATTTAATTGAAACTTTTTAGGAGTTTCTACAAGTTTTGGGGTATTCAATTGAGAAAGACTTTCGGAGAATTTATAATTTATTAAACTTTCAAAGACTTTTTGGTAGAAAACATAAATAGAATTCTCAAAAGAAAATCTCTCATCCATCGGGAGATTTCTTATAGAGCCGGCATTTTCTTTTTTCTTCTAGGGTTTTCTCTTCCATCTCCTTCAATCAGGTAATAATTGAATGTTTTTCTTTATTAACAAGGTACATCTCTATCTCTCCCTCTATGAGTTTTTTTGTTTGATTTATGGATAAACCCATATCCAAAATTGCAAAGTTGAAAAAGATTAACTGAATAAATATAACGTTTGAGGGTGGTGTTGGGATAGATTCTAGGAGCAAAATGAATTGAATAAATATTATGGAAATTAGAGATTTTCCCAAGTTTTATTTTTATTTTTGGGTTTGAGGGTGTTGTTGGGATGGAATTGAATCTGATTTTAGTAGTTGGATTTGATAATTTCACGAAGATCTTATCTTTATATGATACTATAACATTTTCAAGATTTTAGCTTTACTGTCTGGGGAGATTTTGGAGCTCTGCATGAACTACTCTGAGATTTTGTGTTCTCAAATCTAAATTTATTTCAATTCCACCTTTTTATTGTCAATTTGCTGAAATTTTATTGCAATAGACACAATAGGCAATAGGCAGGTATTCTTTAACAATTTTGAGGCACAAGAAGATCCAAATTTTGGTGTCCATGGATTTCTGGATAGGTTGGAATTCATCTTGGGATGTATACATCCCATTTCTGAAAATGGTAGAGCAATTTTGGTTGCAATTTTAAATTACTAAACGGAAATTTCATCTTTGACATGACCGTGTGTGAGTGTAGAGCTGCGTGGGGTAGAGGGATTTGTTTGTTGGAGTTGTATTTGGTTGTTAAGTTCTGTAGCTCAGTTTCAAGATTTATGAGCATTATTATTGACTTGAATTCTTATAAAACTATTTCAGGCCATGTGATTAATTCTTGCTCAATTGTGAAGTATGATAGATCAACGCAATTATCTAAAAATTTCTGGATTGGAAAAATAATCTGTTTGGTGTTGCTTGCTTGCTCTATTTGCTTCTTGTTGCTAAGCCATGATCCTAGCGAGCACTTAAGTTGGTTTTCTATTAGTCTAGATTAATATTCCACTCACTTGGTTTAATTATTTTTAGAATTGTATTGGAGCTATTGATAGTACTCATATTTCAGCAATGGTAACTAGACTGATACAAGCAGTTATAGAAATCGTCATGGAACAATTTCTCAGAATGTTTTAGCCGCTTGTAACTTTGATTTGGAATTTATATACGTGATTAGTGGATGGAAGGGATCAGCACATGATTCTAAATTGTTGAGTGATGCTTTAACAAGGAGAAATGGACTTAAAGCGCCACAAGGTACGGCTTTATTATTTTATTTTTTTATTTTATCTTATTGTTTCATAATTACTTGTTAACTTCACAAGTATTTTATATTCAGGTAAATATTTTTTGGGAGACTGTGGATTTCCAAATCGACGTCAATTTTTAACTCATTTTCGAGGTGTCCGTTATCATCTTCAAGATTTTGCTGGTTAAGGTCGTGACCCTGAAAATATAAAAGAGTTGTTTAATCTTCGTCATGCTCCCTTAAGGAACATAGTTGAGAGGATATTTGGTATATTTAAATCAAGATTCACAATTTTCAAAACAGCTCCTCCATTTCCATATCGTACACAAGCGGAACTCGTATTAGCTTGTGTAGGATTACACAATTTTCTTCCGAAAGAATGTCGTTCCGATGAATTTCCAATTGAACTTGATAATAAAGATTCTTCATCTTTTTCCGATTAATGAGGGGGAAGACTTTGAACCATTTTTTGAGAGTCAAGAACAAAAAAGAGAGAATGCTAATGCATGGAGGGCTTCTCTAGCAGCGGACATATGGAATGATGGAAATGTTTGATATTTTTTTTTTTATTGATCATTACTAAAATACTATTTTTTAATATTTTTATTATTTGTTAAATCAACTTGATATAAGATGAAAAAGTATTCTATGTGTAGCGAAAACAAAATTTTTTTTTTTTTGGAAAAGAAATTGACATGAAAAATATGATTTATTACTTTACATTTTCAATTATATGAGTTGTAGACGATTTGAATATATAAGTTGTTAAACATATTACATTATATATGTTTAACATTTTCTTTAAAAAAAATAAAAAATCTTCAAAAGTATTTAAAAGCCTCTAATAAAAGTCTCCACAAATCTAGAAAAAACTTTTACTAATTCTTACCAAATCCATATAAATCACTTAAAAGTTCACAAAATCCGTGAAAGTCACCCACCTTAAAAAGTCTATAAAAGTTTCAATTGAATACACCCCCTTAAATGTCTTATTATACCACATAACTCATCCCATACATCAAATATTGTTAGACGTCAATCTGGGACATTTAGCGATTGTTTGAGACATTAAAATTAGAATTGGCCAATTTTCATTTTCTACCATGTGAGTTGATTGAGTGAGAAAAACACATTTTGTCGTCAACTTTTGGGGACATGATGGCAAGTACAAACTTTCACTTTTCCAATTCACTCTTTCAGGGTTGCTACTAATCCCTTCTCCGATACCTCAAGCGTGGTTCATCTACCATGTTTATGTTGATTGCATTTGGGAGGGTTACCTGTAAATTGATTTTGAATAATGATGGCATTTTGGTCCAAAATGGGTTTCAGCATGTTCTGTCAAAATTAAAGTATCCGATAGTAGTTCTGTGCACCTCAATTTTTTAACAATTATTTTGTTGTTGTATAATGAGAAGCCTCATTAAAATCTCATTTTAACGAGATTCAAATAGGGCTTAACATAAACCAGTTGATTAATTTAATTTATTTATTATTTTGATTTGATCGAATTGTTATCATGATTGAGAGCGTGATATACCAATAAGTAACAAACAAATGGTAACAATTAGAAAATTCTAAATTATGGATTAGTTAATTAATTAATTTTAAAAATGTCCCACACACATCAATTATACAAGCATGATTGCCCTTTAATTCATAGAAAGTTGAGGATAAGAATGTCAAGAAACAAACTTTCAGGATAAATTTGCAAAGGTGGATAAAGCTTGGGGATTGTAGTAGCAAATTATCCAATTAGAAAAAGGTTTTAGGGTTTACGTATATAATGGATCATCGTCTTATCTCTATTTCTCGTTCTTCTTCCGGCCGACGTAGCTTTCAGCCATGGTTCACGTCAGTTTTTACCGCAACTGTAAGCCCCCTTCTCCTTGCCCCTCTTTATGTGTCTGTATGTGTTTACTGTTGTGGGTATTGGTGCCTGTGTGGGTGCGGTTTTGTTTTTCTTGTGATTGTTCCGTGATCTGCATTGTGACATGTGAATCTA